AAAAAAAAAGAAAGAAATTCGTCTTATTTGAGGCTACGCCTGAATTTAACATTTATACACAAAAAGGATATTACAGTTGTACCTAACAACTGTATAATAAACAATACTTTTTTTAATGTGAGTTATTCATTTTCAATTTAATTTTTTTCCTCTCTTGCTTAGATGGTCTTCTTATTTTTCCCTAATAATTTAGCTCTAATTCAAATTCATCTATTTTTCAGTGATTGTCTCCACTTCTAAGAATTACACATAAATTATAAAAAAGAAATAACATTTAAATGCGAGGTCCGTTAAATTAATGTAAAACACTTACCTTCCTCTTGTTAGTTTTACAAATTTATAGACCACTTCCAAAGAAACGATAAAATTTATAAGCATGAAATTTTTTTAAGATTAAATGGAAATATTTTAGTCACATTAATAGCGGGATTTTAGTAAAGTTATATTTGAGCTTCTTATTTTTAATATTATTATTTTTTATATAATATAGTATTTATATATTATTTATATTATATTTAATTTCATTTTATATATTATATTTAATTTCTTTAATTTTGTCCAACTTTTAAAGTACAAGATTATTTTACAACCGCGTGATAAAATTTCTTAACGTAATGCATGGGAAAATACACGGGGAATGTGACAACAGTGTTCATTTAAAAGTGATGATGTTCAGTATGAATGTTCTGAGAATCACTGATTTCTTCCAGAGGTGGTCGTTTCAGGAAGATAGTACTCATTTGAGGGTTTACTTTACAGGACATTTTAACATACGAAGAGTTTTTAAAACGCATCTCAATTCGTTTTAGATTACTAACAAATTTCTAGATTTGTTGTTCTGTTTGACTAATTTTAAAGATGTTAGTAATTTGATTTATACTTATGATAATTTGAAATATGATAATAATTATATAAATAATTTAAATAATAATTTTTTATCAATTTGACCCAAAACTTTACATATAAAAGTAATTACGCAAATAATTTAAGCAATTTATTGACCAAAATTTGCATATGCAATTTTATATGCTATGCAAATTTTGCTGGTTGGTATATGCAATTTACTAAAATATTCTAGGCATATCTAATTTATTAAAAATATTTTCCCCGTATATAGTAGTAAATTAACGCAAATGTCTGATAAGGTGCCGTTAAAATTAATAAACGTTAAATTTATCTTGTATACCTATATTAATTCTGAACAATGTTCAACAGTTGCATACCTATATTAATTCAAACAATGTTCAGCATACTATTAATATTCATACATATTTAAAAAGCAAAATATATATAAATATTAAATAATAATGCATACTTTCAGGCCTCCAAATTCAAAAAAAAAAAAAAAAAAAAAAAAAAACTAAAATCGCTAGAACTGTGAATAAATGCCCTTAGAATGTGAAATAACGAAATGTTCAAGGCATTTGAAAATCAACATCTTCACCCCATCTACGTACATTCCGGTACGTAGCCACTTAAGTAAGATATTATCATGGATGTTAAATTACGAAGTCTTTAGCATACCTGAGAATTAAGATGCTCGAAATATCTTAAGTGAATTATGGGATGTCACGACATAAACAGAACGTCCTGGGGATATTTTGTTAAATTAAGCCCTCATGGGCGAATGCAATAGTCCCTTACAGGTCTCATACATAAATATATAATAAAATGCTGTTTATTATGCTTCAAAGTTACAACTACAGAGAATAATTCTCTTTGAGTATTGCAGCTATTTTCTCATTTAATACTGAAATGATATGAGCTAAGAATTTGAAAATTTTTGTGACGAGAGAAATCAATCAACTATTTTCCTTTTCAAATGGATCGAAATCCTGCTCATAATTAGAAATTCTCTTAAGGAAAGCTTCCTGAGATCCAATTAAATGGTAACTCAAGGAATGGTAGATTTAGTTCTCTTCTCTCACCCTATAAAGAAGGAGTTAGTCAGCCGCTTCTTTCGAAACGCACGTGACTGCACGTGAAAGATGCTGCAGCAGGCAAGCGCTTTTTCCGAAACGTGGCCAAGATCTCAAGGTCCTCAATGAATTATTGTCGGTGGGGGTCAGCTGGCGGACACACCCTTTCTTTCCTGCTTCGAGAACCACACCCTCTCCGAGACGATGGGGTGCCGCATCTTCTCTTCGGACTCTCATTTACTACGCGCTTAAGGCGCTATTGGCGATGTATTGTTACTCTCATTAAGCGTGGCTGTGGGATGGAAGTGCTGTAGAATATGAGGAAGAAACCACTACAAAATAGAATCGGCATTTCGTAGTCTCATATTCTTCAAGACTTAAAAACAGCAAGCATATAAATAAGAAATGGACCTGGTTGCAAAAATGAGGGATTTATGTACTGTACGGTCGATCATTTTTTGACGAACAAGGACTGTCGCCAGAAAATATAACTTAAGAATAATACTAAGCATGATGTCATTATATACCCATTAGATCTCCCCCCCGATTAATCTTGAATATAAAAATTAATCCTTGATAAGCCACTTCACGTTTTATACGGAAAAATATGAATTAAATGTTATTTCATTATTTATTAGTTTTCCTTAATTAATTCACTATTTATTTTTTGAAAGAAAACTATTAAAATTCGAAACCTGCTTTCTACAGAACAGCATACAATGCAGTATTTCAAAGTTATGGGAAAGAAGGATTTTTTTTAATAGTCACGATATGGGGCATTGTTTGAAAATAAACAATGGCGATAAGTTGTGTTTTTTTATTTAAATTTTCCGTATGCTGTACGCGGAACTTTAAATCGGTTTATTATCTAGCTGCATAAAAAGCGACCTGTTCCTTTGCATTTCCGCTACAATGACTAGCCACAAGTTCTGCAGAAGATCCGCCAACTTTCACGGTTAACGGGAATGTACAACAGTACCAAGAACAACTAAATACGATATTCACAACGTAACTTCCGATTGACAAATCTTTTAAAATACTTTTATGCTTATGATATTCTAGACACCTTAATCTACTTTTCTACATAGTTCGTATTAAGACTGAAGGGCAAATAATTAAGGTCATTTTTCTCATGTGTCCTTGTAGCGTACAACAGATTGTAACTGATTTTCTCATGTGTCCTTGTGGCGTACAACAGATTGTAACTGATTTTGTAATTAGAAGATATATAACTGGATTCCCAGTGAGGATACAGTTAAGTTTTTATCTTTTTCCCCTCAGCGGAAAAAAACACCGAATTTTATTTACAGCAATGATGAGGCATCAGTTTATTATTGTAAATAACCTTTTGCTATTCTACCCAGTTTATCTATTTCCTCAATACAGAACGATCTCGCCTGTGATGAAATCGAAATGTAAATGAACTTTTTTGACAAGAAACTGTAAGTTTGCCTATATTTTCCGTTATGACCAATCAAAATCGTTTTACCGATAATTTTCTTTCCAAAACATTTATTCAAAATGTAAAAGTAAATAATATAAAAAACTGACTTTTATTCTAAACGTGTGTAGTATTACAAAAAAAAGGCTTTTAAAAAAATATTCTGAACATTGTTTATAAAATGATGTAACGTAAATATTAAAAAACACATCACGCGCATGCTTTTTATCAAGTTGAATACACTGCGGATGACTGCAAATTGGTATAGTAAAAGACTTACAGAAAGAAAATGTACAATGATGCACAGCATTTAATTTCAGATGATGACGATTGAGTTTAAATAAGCGTCAATGATTTAAAGATAAGTTAATAAAAATAAAAATAAGTTTTTTATAAAATAATTTTTAGTTTAAAACTCGTAAGATGATTAATGAACTATGAAGAGAAAAAGGTTTTAGTATATAATTAAATGGGAGCAAGAGGTTTAATAATTCTCTTCACAAAATTCATCTACAATTTTATATCACCAATAATAAGCATGGAGAACACTTAATAAACATATAAAATTAATGATTTATATTTATGGCAATGCAATTCGATTCTTACTTTTCGTTATTTATTACGTTTTATTTATCAGTGACATAAATTTGTAGATGAATATTGTAACGAGAATTATTTAATCACTTTCTCTGAACGAACTGCAAGATAAATAATTTTTCTGCTTTTAGTTCATTAATCATTTTATGGATTTTAGATAAAAGCATGTTTTATAAAAGCTTTTTCTATTTTTTCGTATTATATTATCAAATTTTTGTGTCAATGACACGCTATCAATCACATTATTGATTTGAAAAATCACTTTCATAAGTATAATTATCACTTTTTTACTTCCAACAATTATTTACGTCATCAAACGATCGAAAAATTCTAGATTTTTCTCATATGAATCTCATATGAATATTATTTAAAATATCTTTTTCCCCCCTCTCTATCCAATTCCGCAAACAATAAAATTCTGCGGTTTTCAGTTTGTTCGTTAAAACAATACAAGTATGAAAAGGCTTTTTAATGCTTAATTTTATAAAACTCTTATACGAATTTTGAAGAGATCTTCCACTATATTGCATTGCCGTTAACAAACAGCGCATATAGAAAATTTGAACTCGTTAGCTTATCAAAAAGTAGCTGAGAAATCGATGACAAACTTTAGACAGCAGCGACAAACACTGTAAGTGAACGAAATGAAAGCTTAGATAAATGGTTTTTCTTGCACAAATTTATTTTTAAAAACTTTTCGAGAGCATAGAGAGTCGCCGCTCTTTATTTGCCCCTTCATAATATGTTGATTGAAAATCCAGTTTTTATAAGCAAATACGTTTTTCTTTTATTTGGGCTCTCATTTGGAACGATAAATATACAATTAATCAGTTTTATTAAATATAGTAATTAACTTGGTTACTGTGTGTAAATAAAAGCCAGTATAATATTTTACACTTAGCTTATGCTTCAAACCCTTTCAGAGGGTAACTTCAGTTCTTCCTCGCCTTATGCGAAGAAAAGTGCAACATTTCTAATTATATTGATTTAAACCCCGACTGAAGCCCTTCCTCATTGTTACGAAGCGTGTGGTTACTACTTACTCTCCCGAAGAAGTGGTGAAGGATGAGAGTCTTCTGCCGTGTTTGGCTGCCATGGCCTCGGTGAGGAAGGGAGAAGACCCCCTGCGCAGCGACTGCCGCCCCCATCTGCTCCTTCTGCGTTCGCTTAAACTACTCCGTAGATACGCTTCTAACTCATCATCATCCGGTTCATCGGCCATTGCTCTGAAAACAAACACAAAAGGATACATAGTTTAGTAACACAACAAATTTTGCTTTGAAATGAAACTGTTAAAAATCAGTTAAAAATAATTTGCTTAGGTATATCTTAAGCTGTATTATTAGTGTTTTACAACTTACGCTTTTTAGAAAGCAACTCAAAATTTTATTTAATAAAATCTGTTTTTTAATTAACGTCAAAAATTTCCTTGTTTCTAATATATTGCATTTTTTACTGGCTTTTCAGCTGGATCCAAATATATATATATATATATATATATATAAAAAAAAAGAAAAAAAAAAAAGTTAGCATGTGTGAAACTAAACAGGGAAAAAAAAAAAAAAAAAAAAAAAAAAAAAAACCTGAAAGGTTTCAGATTTTAAATTATGTCCAAAGGGACTTTTTTTAACATTTTGTGTGTTACCTTTATTCATTAAACATCATGTTCTTCGCACTTAAACCATAAAATTCAGTTCAAGAGCAATATCGCAAAATAATTTTTAAATGAGCATATCTTTAGAATTTCCGATACACAATCTCCCGCGCTGGAGATAGAAATGTTTTTTCTGTACAACGTTGCCATTGCTCGTTTGAAATCCTTGAGTTTGTTAATCAAAAATTCGTTAAAAGTTTTACAAAATATGAAATCAATAATAAAACAAGTTACAAATTTCAAGTTTGGGCTTCCAGATGCCCATAATCGCAGGAAGATTACGTTACTCAAAGTTTGATGGCTCTAGGGTTACATCGGGGCACGAAAAACATTGGGATAAAATCGTCGTGGACGAAAACGTCGCGGAGAATACAACGCAAGGCGAAAACGTCGCGGTACAAAACATCGTGGGAGAAAAGAAAGCAAAGAGAAAATATCGCAGTTCTAAAACATCGTGGTATAAAACATCGTGGTCGAAAATTAAGCTGTTCAAAAAACTTTGCAGTTTAAAAACATCGTCGTAGAAAATATCGTGGTAAAAAATAAAGTACCTGCAAATCATAGCATGATGCTCACATCGCACATAACATCGCACACATGGGTTGATCACAGTGCGAGAAACGTGTATACATTTATACAGATTCTTCATTACTTAATTTCTTTAAATATAATACAGGGCGATAATATTTGGTGGCAACAATTTGAAAAGTGAAACAACGCTTGTAATGAATCAATGCAAAATGCCAAAACGAAATTAACAGTCTTTCTGGGCAAATTGCCCCTTTGGACTAATAAATGCTTTTTGTTTGATAAAGTTATAATCTAATTATATTTAAGTTTAAAAATGAACAGTTGTTTTAGGGTGCCATATGACTTTTCATTCCGTTTTTAGAATCCCACAACACAAGCGTATGCCAAGTAATTAATATATTTATTGGCATTTCCAGCTGGAAGTAACAACTAAGGAGATGAACAAAGCTCAACTCCTTTTGCTTATAGCTTGATAAAACAATAATACAGCAACTATAATACGCAGGACTATAATAAATATTTTAAGCAGTCAGTCGCCTAAAGTAGTTGTTATAGAAAAGGGAAAAGATCAGTTAGTTAACCAATTAATGTAATTTCATAGGGTTCAACTAATATAACTTCATAAAATATTTAATGCCTTTAATAATAAATCAAAAGTTTTGCTTTTTAAATTACATCAATTTGATCAATCGCTCCAGTAAATAGGTTATAGATTTTAGATATAGAAATTATACTTTGAACTGCAGAGAATATTACAGCTCACTGTACAACTTCTTTAATTTAATAACTCTTTTAATTACGCTCCTAAAAGAGCTGTAATGAAGAAAAATGCTTTAAAAGAATTTATTTTTTAGGGCACTAAAGCGTCTTAAAGTTTACTGATTAAATACAGATATGGTAATCTGTTTGTCAATATGTATTGACAGTTCTGAATATTAGCTCAAATATGAATTATTTCATTTTATTTTGATTTTGATTTTCTAAAATAATTCGAAGAATTCTATGATAGAGGACATAATGGTCGTTTCGTGGCAAGGTAAGGTTGCGTAAGTCGTATCTCCTAAGAAAGAATAGGTATAAATTATAGGATATATGAAAAAAAAAAATAAAAATTCTGTGTGGTAATAATATCTTGTGTTATCCTTGCTGATATTTATTACAATAAAATTTCATGCAATCTATTTACAATAAAATCTCTTGGATAAAATTAATAAAACTTATGAACATGAAATTAATACGACTTCCAGTATTCTAAGTCTTACCATATGTTGCTTAAGTCGTGCTGAATTTAAAACTGTTACAATTATAATAAAACTTTCTTTTTCTCAATTAATGTATTTATACAATTGATTACAGCAATGATCACAAAAACATTTTTTTCATTTTCTTGTCAGCTCTAACGCATAAGCACCTAGCCTTTCCATTTTAGGCACGGAATCATATTCTTTTCACAGTCATCCTCACAAATGTTACAGGGAGACGAACGCGATATGAAACAATATGGTTGAGAGTAACTCGTTTTGCCGAAAGATTCGCAGTTGCTGTGATATTACTCAATATTTAAAAAAAAGGTACGACTTAAGCGGTGGTACGACTTAGGCAACCTTACTTTAATCACCACTAATATTACTTCTGTAATAAATTCAGTTTTTCTCTCTATCTGTACAATGAAGCCTGGAGAAGCTTTCTCAAAGAATCACTAAATTAATCAAGAAAGGAATACGATTTTATAATAAGGTATAGGATAGACTAGTCGGACTAAACATAAACAACATGGAAAAATTTCAGTACGAATTATTAGCAGGAGTCCAAATAAGTAAGAAGATTGCATATCAAGTTTTTAAATTACAATACAAAATATTGAAAAAGGAATTGCTTTTTAAAAAAAATTTAACAGGCTATAAAAATTAGAAAAATGTTAACTGAAAAAAATCTGAAATTTTAGATTTTAACAGTCACCCAAAAAGGGTTTGTTAAGGTTTAAGGTTTTTCGTACGCTCTATGAGTCGCAATTATTCCTACTAACTGTTTTTAGTTTTATTATTAAATATCCTTACGATATACAATTCAATAGCTACATCGTAAAAATTTTAAAGGCAGCATAGTAGCAAATGTTTAGAATTTTTGGAGCAGTGTTTAGTGTTGGAATAAATTTTTCTACATTTTTCAGTCTTTCCTCGGTTCAGTGTTCAATTTTCTTAATAAAAAGGCTTCCACAACTTTTTTTTGTGTTTTCATCATTAACCTTTTGTGTTTTTGGCATTTGTGTGTTGGCGTATTTAATTATGGCAAAGCACACTATTGCTATCTGCCTAAGGGAAGGGTTGCTTTCGTGAAGGACTTTCTAAGGGAAACTGGCTCGTATACACGTTACACATGAGGAAAACCACGAAAATACCCATGCAGCCAGCCCTTTCGCGGCATTCGAACCTCGGACCGAACTACCAATGTGCGACTTTACCGCTCGGCCGCTGATGGGCCCCTTTTGTGTTTTTTACTTTAATTTATTAAATATCACCTTCTTCGCACTTACACCTCATAAAATACAATTCAGTAGCAAAATCATAAAATATTTAAAAACAGCATTTTATTAGAATTTCCGACAGACAGTCTCGCTCGCTGAAGATAAAAAGGTTTTATTCTGTACAATTTTGTCACTGCTTGATTTCAAATCATTGAGTTTGATCATCAAATTTCATTAATGTTTTACGCAGTTTTGAAATAAATAATAATATATATATATAACATTATTCGATGAAAATCCTGAGTATCTTTTATTAGACATATCATGAATTAAATGCACTTTTATTATTTAAATCAATCCGTTTCAAAAGTAAAAAACGAATATTCTTAAGAACTCCATCTATTGCTTTCAAGTAGTTTAGTTTGTTTATCCACAACAAAGAGATTCAGTCTGAAAGATTAATCAATGTTTTACATTATGTCGAACGATAACAAATTCAAATGAAGAGTGAAACGATGCATATTTAGTGATTCGATACAAATTTCTATTTTGAGACTGATAAGCTCTTTTGGGGTAATAAACGGATTCTGTATACGTTTACTATATGGCAACAACAGAGAAAAAAAAAACCGTGGTAATAAAAAAAATTGGTTGCACACCATACGGCAATAAAAAAAACTTTCCTAACTTTAAAAAAGTCCAGTTAAAAATTATTAATTAGGTATATCATTATTTAAATGTATTTTCGTTTAAATCAATTATATTAAAAAGTAAAAATATATATATGTTATTAAAATATGAGTTGATTGCTTTTAAATCGCTAAGTTTTGTTATTAATAATAAACAGATTTGAAAGTTCAAAAGCTTAAGCTTTGTTGAATGGCGATACATTTGCGGATGGAATAAAAAAGCATTTTATTTCGACATAACAGCCCATTGCAGCTAAGTAGCCGAGATTGTTCATTAGTTTGAAAGATAAATATCTTGCATTTTGCCGAAATGCAAAACAACTGGTGTGCGGAATATAAGAATGTTTTATTTCGAACAGTGGAAACACATTGCTTTTAAATCGCTAAAATGTTTAATCAGTAATTCATTAATATTCCACAAAATGTTAATTAAGTAAAACACAAATTCAAAATTTTTGCTTCGAAATGCACGCATTTAGGGAAAAGATTATGTGTGTTAGAAATTTGGCAAGTCTACAGAATGCCACCTTTTCTGCACTGTTGGGAAATTTGCGTTGCTCTAGCTGCATAGTCCCGCAATAGAAGCCAAGAAGGTGTCTCTGTCTCTTGTGTGTGTGAGAAGACTGTGTGTCCTCTCGACGTCTTGGATATCGACAAGGCTAGTAGCCATATCGACAAGGCTAGTAGCCTTGTCGATCTCTTCAGCGGGGTATGGCAATCTGATGTATAGAATCTGGCGTGGGAAGGATATGTACAGATATGTAGAAGATTACAACGGAAATAGAAATCTAGATGAATTTTCGAGGCAGCATTTATATGAAGTATCGTATGGAATCGTTACAGCAAAGTACCTAACCACATAACAGTTATGTTCACCATCCGTTATCG